AAACCTGTGTGGGCAGTAGAAATTGTGTGGAGCAAACGTTTGGAGACTTGGGGTTTTGAGTTTTAGATTGTGGTGTTCGATTGGAGGTTTCTGAGCCCGATTTCAAGGTGTTAAACGATGTTTTAACATCACATTTTTGGATGAATACTTACCCTACGCAAGCTGACAATTTTTTCTGGAAGAATCTGGCGACTCGTGGTAGTGATATGACTCGTACTAATATAACGCGGAAGATGATGGAGACTCTCGTCAGTGACATGAAAAAAGCTCTCCTTCTTAGCTTCTCTCACGCAAAACTCGTGTAAGAGATCGTGGATCTTGCATTTCTTAATTTTGCCTCTAGAACTCCGCTTAGAAACCAAAATAAGGCTTCTCTAAAAAAGAATCTGTAAATACTCTTCTGCCACATCTTCCAAGCTTTTGCTTGTCATGACTGGTTCTATGAATCCCTCTGCAATCCATAACTTGACAAGTTTGGATGTGAGGATCTCATAATCCTCCGGGAAAATTCCCATGTAGAGAAAACATGCTCTTAGATTATGAGGCAAATTGTTATAACTTAAATACAATATATTTGATGACTGATCGTCATGTGAAGTTATAACCGAACTTAAATTCTTCGCAACATATTCCCAGTTCCTCTGTGTTCGGGTGGACTTTGAGAGAAGCCCACCAATCAAAACAATTGCAAGTGGAAGTCCTCCACATTTTTTGACTATCTCGGTCCCCATTTGATTCAGTTCACTGGGGCAAAAATCTCCTCCAAACACCTTCTGACAAAATAAATTCCAACTTTCAACATCGTTAAGAAAACGCATCTGATGAATAACAGATCTAGAAGAGTTGACATGAACAGCCACGCTCTCCAGCCTAGTGGTCAGTATGATTCGACTTCTCTCCTTGTTATCTGGAAACAATCGATTGACATCATTCCAGACCTTCGTGTCCCATATGTCATCCATTACAATGAGGTACCTCCTACCTATTAGATTCTTGTACAATTTTTCTTTTAAGGTACTGATTTCTAATTTTTGCATCTCGCCCGAGAGTTTTCTCATAGAATCTAGAAGATACAGTAGGATTTTACGCTCATCGTAGTTCTGAGATACTGTTACCCAGGCACGAACATCACAAGTCTCCTGAATGCGTTGATGATCGTAGATTTTTCTAGCAAAAGTGGTCTTCCCAATTCCGGCCATCCCAACAATGGAGAGAGTATTAAGTGCCAGCGAATCTCCATCCATCCAAGTCAAGATTTCTATCAACTCCTTGTCAAGACCAACCATAGTGCTTTTGCTACTGTGAGAAGGCATCGAAGTCCTTGGCTGCAAATCTTTTACGCCACCGTCATCCTCAATCTCCATTATCTGTTTTTCTGTGGACTCAAATCTTCTTGTTATTTTTTTTAAGTCTTGAATGCCAAAGCGATGTCTTCTGCTTTATTTACTGCTTGTTCTTCGTGAAGAATTATCAAGAAAATCTTGTGCGAAACCTTTTCTTTTTTTTTTTTTGAAAGAGAGACTTGTCACGGACCACATGGTAGTGACACGAGATTGGGCATGACACGAGAATGTCTGGCACCAAGTGGGAAAATGAAGTAGACCTTTGGTTGATTAGGTCTAAACTTCAACCGTACACGG